GCCATACATACATAAATAAAAAAAAAGGAGAAAAATATACATACATAAATAAATATAAAAAAAAGGAGAAAAATATACATACATAAATAAATATAAACAAAAAAAAAGGAGAAAAATATACATACATAAATAAATAAAAAAAAAAGAGAAAAATAAGCATACCGAATATAAAAACACAAAAAAAAACAAGAAAGGAAAGCTAACTTCGGGCGGAGCCGAAGTTTATATACCCTTGCAGTTAAAACCGGATATATATCGCAAACATCGGATATAGTTGGCAGATCCTTATGATTACATCATAATAAAACCAATTTACTAAAATACAAAATCTAAAATAAGTCCCAAACTTCTATCTTCAAAAATACGAAAGTTGATATTTCTACCAAGTACCATTTCCGATCGTTCAGTTATATGGCAGCTATAGGATATAGTCGACCGATCCTAATGAAATTTGGTAGGTCGGATCAACTGGCCAATAATAGAATCTGTATTAAGTTTCAGCTTTCTATCTTTAAAAACACGAAAGTTAGGTCATTTCCGATCGTTCAGTTATATGGCAGCTATAAGATATAGTCGGCCGATCCTTATGAAATTTGGCATGTCACAAAAATTTGCCAAAAATAGCTCTCATGTCAAATTTGAACTCTCTAACTCTAAAAACACCAAAGTTATACCATTTCCGATCAATCAGTTATATGGCAGCTATAGGATATAGTCGGCCGATCCGGGCCGTTCCGACTTATATACTGCGTGCAAAGAAAAGAAGGGTGTGTGCAAAGTTTCAAGACGATAGCTTCAAAACTGAGAGACTAGTTCGCGTAGAAACGGACAGACAGACAGACAGACAGACGGACAGACGGACAGACGGACAGACGGACAGACGGACATGCTCATATCAACTCAGGAGGTGATCCTGATCAAGAATATATATACTTTATAGGGTCGGAGATGTCTCCTTCACTGCGTTGCACACTTTTGGACAAAATTATAATACCCTCTGCAAGGGTATAAAAAACTTATTAACACCATTTATTAAATTTTGTACAATCTATGTTAGAAAATAACTTCATTATATTACGTTATTTTTCAAAAGGAGGGAGATGTAATATGCTCATATATGCACTATTAATATCATATGTATATATATCGACCACCCACTGTACCAAGAGTACTTAAAGGGTACACACTGTAACACTTTGTCGCAGTGTTTATGTTATCCAAGGTCTCGGTCATAAACCTAAGTGCACCGAAATATGAACCGCCCGCTGTACCTTTGCTGTACGCCGAAAAGTGCATATGTCCGCATATACGTAACACGAGTGGACCTTATGCAAGTCCACATACCTCCGCCTAATCGAACGTAACATAAATATATATTCATATATAAATATTTAAGAATACATAACCGTCTCTCCGCTGCCGCTTTGGGCAGCGCAGCTACGAGACTTAGACCTCCTTTAATTCATAAGTAAATTTGTAAAACAGAAACTCCCTTGAGTTCGGAGCGGCAACAACAGTTGCTCCGACTAAATAAAAAACCTTTACAAACCGAATCAAGAGCCTTCTATTGGGAATCGATTACAAATGCGATCCTGCCAGGAGGATCGTAGTACACCGGTATACATTATTGTTGTGAAAATTGTCGTGCTGTCTAAGGCGAAATGAGGTCGTTCATGAGACAGACCAAGAATGGAATTAAAAAGCTGATCAATGGTTTTCGTAAAATCAATGACCTGCTCAGTGCGCTTGACACTCAGTTTAGTGGCCTTCAGCTGCTAAATGAGTCCCCTAAGCGTAAGAAATCCGCTGTTTCTGATCCGCCTCAGCCGACATTAATGCAGCCGCTCATACCTCTGACCACCCCAAGGGCTAGAACTGAGAACAATTCATCCGAATTTCTTAGGGAAAATGAGCAATTGTCCGATATGTCCGCCATGGCATCCCTTCAAGTGATGCCACGGGAAGCCCCCGTTTTGGGAGAACGAAACCCCCGTTAGAGTCACCCAAAAGCGTATTCCACAGACCGGACCACCCGCACCGACTGATGCTGCAGTTCTCGTACCTGCGACACCAAAACCCTTGCAGGGGATTCCTCCATCGAAACATATATTTGTTTCTCGGCTTGCCCCTGATACTTCAGCGATTGATATCTCGGCTTATATCAAATCCAAAACAAACGCCGATATAAAGGTGGGGGACATAGCTTAATTTAAATATAATTATATACGGCGCACGTCTTCTTTCGATATTCGTCGGCCCACGCTAATGTTCCAGACGATTTGTTCACCCAGTTTTTGGCCAGAGAATATTTTCGTCCAAGAACATCAGCCTAGTTCCGTGACACTTACCTATCAGAATACTAGGGGGCTATGTAGTAAACTCTCCAAACTATATTCTGATAGTTTTTTCTTTGCATCCCATATTATAGCCTTTACAGAAACTTGGTTAAAGCCGCAGATCTTTAGCTCTGAAGTTTTGCCAAGTAAGTACACTAGAGGTCTGCATGAATAGCATTGAATGAGTTAGAGTTACAGTTCGCATTCGAATTGTTTCGAATGCATTCTAGAATATACGATACAACTATGCACATTTGCCTGTTTTTTTAGACGCTGATAATAAAATAATTCAAAAGTGGAAGTAAGTCATTGTTTTTTTCAGATATATTCATTATTATGCTGTATATTTTATTTTACATATTTTACTTATAAGAATGTAAAAATATTTTCCTTATTTATTAATAAATAATTTTCCAGCACAATTTTGCCGCTAAAAAAATTTTGTAAAATAATTTAATTTGAAAAACTAAACAAAAATCACTAAGAAAATAATAATAACATAAATACCATAAATAAAAAAAACATTTTCATCACAATTCACCTTTCGGTCAATTCCTTCATTATTAAAGAAGTATTAAGGAAGCGTTTTGCTTAACAGAAGAAAATAAATGAATGCATAGAGTGTGTTAAAAACCATTCGAGACATTCGGCTTCATTCCTCATTCCAAAAACACTCTTTTTACTTTCCACCCAAACTCACTCTGTTTCAAAGCAAGAGAATGCCCATGAGTTAGAATGCTCTCTCACTCAATTCGTTGTGTCTCTTGCACTCATTCATTCCATTCCATTCGGATGTATTCTAAGGCTGAGGCAATAAGAATGTATTCCTGCAGACCTCTAAAATACACCACTTTTAGAAGGGATCGACCTCAGCGAAAGAGGAGTGGAGTCCTCATTTCGGTAGACTCCACTCTTGCTTCTAAAGAGGTGAAATCACAAGAGTTTGGTGACATTAAGTTTATTTGCATTAAAATCAATTTTTCCGAGAAATCTTTATACTTTACATGTTCGTATATACCGTTTTCGTCTGAACCGCCCACATATTGGCAGCATTTCTCCGCTATTCAATCCGTTTTTAATCTTATGACTGATCGTGACCAGCTCGTCGCTGTGGGCGACTTTAATTTACCAGAATTCCAACTTTATTATACCAGAATTCCAGAAGTCCAACGTCGATAGCTCACCATCTTTGTCACTTATCACTCACCATGACTTCACCGCGGGCATGTATGACATGTCCCTAGGTCAGATTACCCATGTTAGAAATTCGTTAGGTCGGCTTTTGGACTTATGTTTTGTATCTGATCTTGACGGTACCGCTCTGTCCAGAGCTTTTCCCCTTTCAACCCTAGAGGATCCATATCACCCCACGCTGGAGGTCTCAATCGAAACCATTCCTGGTATCGATCAGATGTCTCCACGCGTGGTGAAAAGATTCGCTGTTTCCGTAAAGCTGATTTTCACAAACTTAAAGATGTAGTCTCATGTGTGAGGTTGAAAAATCGATTATTTAACATATTTCGAAAGTACTGTTTATTAAGAATTTACTGTTAATGTTTCAAATAAAAATATTAAATAATGACAGAGATACAGCCAATAATCGAGAGCGCACCTACACCGAAAAGTATGAGTTTCTCGGTAGCGTCTAAACTTTAAACGCGTTTTTCTCGGAACGACATTTTTGTGTGCGGCGCAGGTGATTCACAAAATTCTATGGTACCGATCTAGCTGAAATTTGGATATGTTGTTCTAAAAAGTAACACCTCTGTCCCGTACTAGAATAATTTATTTTTAATGATTAGTTTTTTTTTTATCATTAGTTTAAGATAAATTTTTAAAATTAAAAAAAATTTTTTTTTTTTTTGTGATCGCCATTTTGTTGTTTATTGATGAAAATATTTCATTCTAGTACGGGACATAAGCTTACAAAACAATAATCTATTCTAATTTTTTGTTTCGGGTGACTCTAGCAGTCGAAATCACCTGCGCCAGGGACCTACCTTTTTTTTTATATGCATACTTTGGCATGCTATAAAGTGTATTAAACTAGACAAGAATAAATTAAACAAAATATTTTCAAATAGTTTATGATGCCTACAAAAACATATGTGAAAATTGAAACATCATTTTTTTTTATTACAAAAAAAATTTTTTGAAATAACCTCTAAAAAGTAGGCCGGAACATAAGACTACATCCTTAAATGAAAATAGCTATTCGCCTTTCTTTAAACCATTTTTAATTAGATCGATAGAAAAATAATTTTATAGCCGCCTTAATCATTCCAAACATTCCGTTTCCTTACCCCGTAAATTTTGGCATCAAAGTAACCCATAAATCTGTCAAAACCAATACACAAACCCTAAAAACGTTCCAAAATAAGTGTTCGGAAAAAAATGGTTTGCATAACGAATAACGATGCATAAATGATGCATTTTAGCAGTTAATACTTTAGTCCGTAATCATATTTATTATTTTTTTTTATTTAGATGTCGATTAAGGGTTGAAAATGCCGTGAAAATTCATTTCACTTGAACGAGGGCTTCGAGTTAAAAAGTAAAGGGGAAATATTTTAAATTTAACCCGGGAGAACACTACTTTTATTTCTTGTCAGAGAAAAGTAATTCTTGAGTTGGCTAATTTTAAATTAAATTTTAGTTAATCTCTGAATTTTAAAGGGAATTTATTTGCCGTCATATTGAAATAAAAATATATGGTGCAACAGAACATGAAACCAAACTTACTAAAGAGGACATTTTAACTTGCTCTCTTGTCTTTGGCCTTAACTTCGGTCTTTTTATTCGACATTTTATTTTCTGTACCACATCTGAAGAGTCTTCATGCGTTTCACTTTCTTTTGCAACTGTAAAACGCCGTACATTAATGCTTCTGCAGTGGGCGGGCAACCAGGTACGTATATGTCGACCGGTATTATACGGTCGCATCCTCGTACAACTGAATACGAATAGTGATAATAACCACCTCCGTTGGCACAGCTACCCATTGAAATAACCCAACGTGGTTCTGGCATTTGATCATAGACTTTCCGTAATGCTGGAGCCATTTTGTTCGTTAAGGTACCTGCTACAATTATGACGTCAGCTTGACGGGGAGATGCACGAAAAACAACTCCGTAACGATCCATATCATACCGCGGCGCAGCTATATGCATCATTTCAACTGCACAACATGCCAAACCGAATGTTAAAGGCCATATGGAACCTTTACGACCCCAGTTAAGCAAATCGTCAAGCCTGGCTAATGACCACTCAGCTGCAGATGCTTGTTTATTTCCAAAAGGTGAATATCCTTTCTTTGGTAACTCTTCAGAAGTTTTAGCAATTGGAAGAGTGTTTTGGTGTCGTACCAAATTCGAATACAAAACTGAAGTTAATGGTATATCGTTCAAACTCTTTCCAGCCTTTTGAACATATTTATTTATTATGGGCGTCGTGATAGCGGTCCGCAACATTTTGGCGCTGAAAGAAAAATAATTTAATATTTTACTAATAAAAACAAAAAATAATACCTATTTATATAACCCAAAATTTAAGATATTAAATACAAATTGTATTCTGTGAAGGATTGATGTATCGATAACGATAGCTAATACCATTTTCATCCACAAAAATACCATTTTAAAATTTTTTTCTTTTGAAAAATATACTAAGAAAATTAATTTATGAATTTCAGTTATCAATATATATAAAGACTGAAATGTACCCATAGGAAATATTATAATTTTATAAGTGATTTCATACTATTTATATCAGGGATGCAACACAATAGACTTCCACTCAAATTTCGCGATATTTGCGATATTATGGGTTTTACAGAAACACTGTTTTGACACACACATAATGCCAACATTTTGTGACCAACGAACAGCTGACACCCAGAGCTACCGAATTTCGCAGGACTGCAATTTTAATCAGAAATTGCGATTTTCAAATGCAACGTATATTATTCTTTGAGGCTAAAATATGGGGCATTGGGACAAGTTTGCTTGATTACTAAAAATCAATAAGAAGCAATAAATAAATTTATGAATATGCAACTAAGCAGCTTTTACAACATACACCCCAAGGGGTGTTGTCTGGACTAAATTACTCGGAATACGTGGCATTGCGAAAATAAAAACATCTCACAAAATCAATAAAGTTTTTTGCGGTGCTCCTGGATTTGGACTTATCTAAATCAAAAAACATGCTTGAAGAGCAAACAAATTTTTTTTTGTTTGAACGATTTTTATTCATAAGCAACCAACACTGTCAATCAAAAGTGCGTGTGTATCAAATGATCCAAAATGAAAAAAAATTGGGTACAAATTATTCAAATAAATGGTGTCTCTATGTCTCTTTAAAGTGCCTCCCACAACGTTTTTTATGTAATTGGTGTCAACATGTTTTAGACCCACAAATCCCAAGTCACTAGTTTGATGATTTTCAATACATCAAACTCATAAACTCGTGATTAAAATTTGTTAACCTTTTACCTTGTTTGACAGAGTCATTAAGGGGTTATACACGATTACTAAAAAATTACTAGTCCGATCAACACCAAATTTTGACCACTTATTTATTATGATAATAGCTAGTCCGTGAACGAGGGATTTTAAATTTTTTTTGAAAACTCCTGTTTTAAAGCATAAAAATCGAATATCTTTTACCTTGAAAACGTACATTTTTTTTTTAAAACCGTCGCCATTTTTTTTTTAATCAAAATTTTTTAAAATCCTTCGTTCACGGAGTAGACAATACCATAGACTAAATCAATTTTTTTGAAGTTTGGATTTCAGATGAACCGTTTTTGGGATATCATGTCCACCGCAAGACACCATCGAAAAAAGACGATCCGGGAATTCGGCTATAACATTTTTATTATGTAATATTTTTTTATGAAAATATTTAATTAGGTACCCAGAAACATGTACTAAACAACTTCGGTAAAACATTTTTCATAAATATTTTCTATAGTGTCAAAAAAAAATCGATAAAATTCCATTTTTTTGCGCGGTACAACTGTATATAACCCCTTAATAGACTTGATAGCCATTTTTGGTGGTTTTATACCCTTGCAGAGGGTATTATAATTTTGGTCAAAAATGTGCATCACAGTGAAGGAGACATATTCGACACCATATAGTATATATATTCCTGATCACGATCGGCTCCTGAGTTGATATCCTTTTTCGACATCCTTGTCACTCTTTTTATTAATGACTTGCCCCTGCTTCAACGAACTCTTTAGTTCTTATTTGTGCAGATGATGTTAAGCTTTGGTGGAGTAGTGGTAGTGGAGTAACGCTTAATGAAGCCATGCTGCCAGAAAGATATGATCGAAGATCAAAGGTGTTGCAAATGAGGAGTAATGAATTTTTTAAATAACTTTGGAATTGCCGATAATATATAGCAGTGGTCGGCACGGCCACACACACACAGTATAGATGTGTGAAACGTCATGCTCACAGCCTACTTTCTGCTATTCGTTACAAATATTAATGCGTTAAAATCATTTCAATGTATTGTGGTACCGACCACTGATATACATATAGATGTAAGGGAATTATGAAAGATTCCTTCCACTTAAGGGATAAAATCGATGTTTCGATCGACGATAAATTGAAAAGTCTATGAAGAGGTTTGCACAGAGACCTTGCACAGTATTTTAGCACACAGCCTGGTACTCCATCGGGGCCTGGCGACTAAGAGGGGTTTGACCCTTATAAGATCAGATAATATGCTATTCTCGGAGAAAATCGGACAGAAAATAAGATTTTCTGAATGAATGTTGTATGCGTAAGGATGTTCTGTCGATTTAGGCGGAGAATAAGTTGTTTGAAAAAATAGATCGGCAATGGCCTGGTGGAAAAATACATGTTTACGCTTAGTGTTTACAAAGTTACAAGACTGCTTTGAATCCTGAGTAAATTTTATCCGGAGCGGCGTATATATTTCCTTTTACATTCAGCGTTATGCACTGCAATATGGGCCGAAACGCCGTTTTTAAATTGGACCACGCCCACTTCGGGCGCAAACGCCGTTTTTTTTGCATAAACTCCAATTTTAGATATACTGGGCTAAAATTTTGCATATATGCTTGAACTATTTTTTTCGAATTTCGAATTTTATTGTTTTTGGAAAGTTGACCACGCCTATGGCCGCCGCCTATATCAAGAGTTGGCCATACTGTCATTTTTACTTAATTTTTACATAAACTTAAGTTTTTCATAAAAAGAACTACAGCTTTTACTAAATATGGTTCTATTAGTTATAATATTTAATTGAAACCTCTAACAGCGCCGTCTTTCCGGTGGCTCTCCCCCAAAACTTGCATGAGGAGAGCTGCATGAGAGCTTAAAAACACCTGCAACATGTATTGTTTTTTTGAAAAGGGGCGAAAACGGGCAAAGAAGTAACTTCACCTGGTTAGTTGCTTGCGCCGATATGCGCTGAAAAAGTAACACTCCTCAAAACACAACAAAAAAATGTATATGGGCATTTCCTGGGGTCGCGAACGTACGTTCGTACGCAATAAGTGCCAAAAAATTAAAGAAAAATACATTTTCTGACACTTTTTTTTTGTTTCCGATAGCATTCGGAGAGTTCTTTTCTTAGTGTAAATTATGATTCTAATGGATTTTTCATTTTCATAATATTGGCAAAAAACATGAGGTCGCGAATGTACGCGAAATGGAAGTCGGTTTTGGTTCTCGTGTCCTCTGTGTTTTTGTTTTGTTGATTTGATGAATGGTGTAACATAGTCGTTTTTACTTTTGCTTGTTTGGAATTTATTTATTTTTTTTTTAAATTAGTGTATAAATATTTATTCACCGTATTTATTTATTTTTTTTGTGAGGGTGTCTTTTGGGTTTCTCCGGGTGTTCCCATCCCTGTAGGTATTAACGTGTGCTAGCCGGCGAAGTGAAAAATCCAAACAAGAAAAAAACAAGAAAGGAAAGCTAACTTCGGGCGGAGCCGAAGTTTATATACCCTTGCAGTTAAAACCGGATATATATCGCAAACATCGGATATAGTTGGCCGATCCTTATGGGAATAGGAATATATAATCCAATTTATTACAATACAAAATCTAAAAAAGTCCCAAACTTCTATCTTCAAAAATACGAAAGTTGATATTTCTACCAAATACCATTTCCGATCGTTCAGTTATATGGCAGCTATGGGATATAGTCGGCCGATCCTAATGAAATTTGGTAGGTTGGATCAACTGACCAAGAATTAAATCTGTACTAAGTTCCAGCTTTCTATCTTCAAAAACACGAAAGTTGGGTCATTTCCGATCGTTCAGTTATATGGCAGCTATAGGATATAGTCGGCCGATCCTTATGAAATTTGGCATGTCATATTATTTTGCCAAAAATAGCTCTCATATCAAATTTGAACTCTCTAACTCTAAAAACACCGAAGTTATACCATTTCCGATCAATCAGTTATATGGCAGCTATAGGATATAGTCGGCCGATCCGGGCCGTTCCGACTTATATACTGCGTGCAAAGGAAAGAAGGGTGTGTGCAAAGTTTCAAGTCGATAGCTTTAAAACTGAGAGACTAGTTCGCGTAGAAACAGACAGACAGACAGACGGACAGACGGACAGACGGACAGACGGACAGACGGACAGACGGACATGCTCATATCAACTCAGGAGGTGATCCTGATCAAGAATATATATACTTTATAGGGTCGGAGATGTCTCCTTCACTGCGTTGCACACTTTTGGACAAAATTATAATACCCTCTGCAAGGGTATAAAAAACAGGCAGACCCTTACAAATGGCGCCCAATCCGAAAAAAGGACCTGATAGGATCGAAGGATTCTCGGAAGTTGGACCCGTGACAGGATCGTAGAATCCAGATCACGCTCTGCCCTTCCGACGAGACTGAATCTGCAAGGAAAGTCCTTTGCTTACATTGTTTTTTTGTGTGAAAGTAAAGTAAAGTACGTATCTGAATAGATCCCTTTGTGGTGCCTTGCGTGTAGTCCAGAGGCTCGAGGATGTGGTCCACGTTCGGTAAATGTAATGAAGTACGTGTGTTCCGTCCGAGACAATTTGTGACTGTGAACGGAAAAGGGATAAATGAATGTTTTTTTTTGGTATAGAATTAAGTAAAGAAAATTGGAAGAAGCAGCACAAGAGACGAGACAGGAGACAATCTCACAGATCTGAGGAGCTGGATGAATAAGTTTTCAAAACTCCCCTTTAACAGAAATTCAAGAAGCAGTTAAAAAAAAAAAAGGAAGAATAGAAAATTAAGAGACCCAAAAACAAACAAGATATTAGATAACACAGCTCCACAAAAAAAAAAAAAAATTCAGAGATCAGACCTTACCTCCCATATGGATTTGGGGTCGCTGAATCCGAATCCGTGGTCAGTTGGTCGCCATCACGTCAGGTTTTCGAGAAAATAACGGTTGAATAGTCGAAAAACGCCGTTTTTGGCCATTTTCGAAAAATCGTACCGCAAAATTCTGATGTGTTACAAACCTAATTCAAAAAAAAAAATGAAAGGCTGATTTGTGATCTTTAAAACGAGCTCCATGCCAAATTTTTCGCATGCACCGTTAGGACAGGGGGTGCGTTTATATGTAGGTTTATATGTTGTGAT